GGACTGGGGGAACCGCCCGGGGCGCTTTCCACTGCCCGGCCCCTTTAAGCTAAGAGAGTAAGAACCCTTCTAGGCAGAGCCTAGGTAGGGAAAAACTGCATAAACCTATTTTCTCGGAGGTCCGCTCCGACCTCTGAGACGTCATGTTTATGCATTTGTTTGTTTTACTTCAATCGATTCATGAGTTCTTGTGGCTACGCGTGGGATCCGGGGACGTGTGCCGCCAGATACTCGGCTTCATGACATCATGATCGTTCTATTCTCGTCGGCTCGGCTGGGTGTCGTCGCCCGTCGGTTGCCATCGTGATCGGCGTCGTCGTTATTCTCCTTGTCACGCTCTTTTTCTCCACCCCTCCGTCCGCTCCCCCCCCCTTCCGCGTGCGTGCTGAGAGGAGGGTGATGACGGCGAGGAGTATGGGGCAAGCGTGTTTGTGTTTGGGACGTCATTGGCTTCTTTACAGTTGGGGGAGGAGGGGAGGGCTGCAGTACCGTGTGGTGCCAGTAATTCGGCCTGGGCTGGTTTAGAGATGGGTGCAGGCGGTCTTAGCGCCCAGACGAGAGCGGGCTCTGCGTCCGACGTGCGGGGAAGGAGAGCGAGCAGCAGGAGGGGAGGAGTCAGACAGAGGAGAGGAACGCTGAGCAAGCTTCCAGTTCTACGAGCGGGCGGACCGCCATTAGACAGTCCTCCAGGGCTGAAGAGTCCGTCTCTTGGGAAACACCCTCTGCTTGCGGAAAACCTCAACTCATAGCTTGTGTGTGGGTGGGATGATATCGAGGGCAGGCCCCTTCCATCAGCCCCTCCATTCTCCATAACTCAGGTGTAGCGTCCCAGAGTGTGTCAAACCCCTTCAGGGTGTGAGCAGTCGGGCGGGGGGGCCATCCTGGAGTGAGTGGCCTTCCTGGAGTGAGTGGGCTTGGAGAGCGATGAGTGGGGAGGGCCGTATGGCCTGCCAGGCGAGTCTTCACCTACGCAGGAGGGGTTGAGGAGGGGTCATGAGACGGGGTGGGGGATGGGGGAGGACGAGCAGGAGCACGAAGACGCATGACGCGGATGCCCATTCGGTAGCATGCCATTGGGAGGTTTCGCGAACCGCCACTGTGTGCAGATGTGTTACGTGCCCTCCGCGACGGCCGCGAGCGGTAGCACTAACGTTCATAGCCACAAGGTTGTGATACGATGGACATTTAACGAATGCGCCCATACTTCAGTCAAGCGCCACACGACTTGCCAAGTTAGTCTCGAGATGGCCCTCAGATGTCGGCTTCACGCGGGGGGGCCTGATTCAGATGACGTTCGCGTTCTGTGTGCTTGGGCATTTCCCATTCTGGTGATCCCAAAACCAGGGTCGAAGTAGAGGTAAGTATACAAACTTGCGCATCATGCATTTCACCAGGTCAACATAGTTCTGGGAAGTTGACTTCTGCATCAGTGCTCTTATATCCGTGGTAAGGCTAATCCAGCATAGGCCCGAGTAGTTCAGATCAATGCGGTGAGGTCCGACTTCATCGGGCTGGATGTTGGGAGTCATCCAGGCTAGAGGGGGTGGATATGCTCAGGGGGGGGAGCGCATCGACCTGCAAGCGCGCCCTCTCTTCGCCGAGCGGGGCCCCACGGCCCGCCTGGCCCAGACGCGTGCGGATTTGCTATTGGGAGCTTCTCTCCGACATGTGTGTATTATATATATATATATATATATTATGCGTGTGTGTGTGGTCGGCGATGCATCGCTGCGTCCAGCTCGATGCTTCCACCCTGACGGGGCTCGTCTCGATTCCTCCGATTCGTCTTGGGATTCCGATGTTTGCTCCGATTTCTCAATGGAGGACTACTAGCCTGCCAATTTCCGCCGATTCGACTCCTCCCGACCTAGCTGCCGATTCTCGCCGATCCGATTCATCTCGATCGCCGATCCGACTTGTCGATTTGATTCCGGGCTCTCCTGTCCTGAGCTGGTCCCCCCCTCACGTTCCGCCCCACCCCCACCCCACCGGCCGAGTTGAAGCCAGGGTTCATCAAGTTCGCGAGTTCGAGGCCCGGCGACCATGGGGGGAGAAAGTCAGGGGAGGAAGATATACCGATTCCGCTGCTCGTCCTGGGGAGGCCTTGCCATCACTGCTGGATTCTCCTCGAAACTCCTTGGTCAGAACGCACCCCAGGAGAGGTCCGAGAAGCAGTGGTATCGGTACCCATCTGTCGTTGAAAGTAGGTCTTTTTGGATTTCCAGATTACAATCTACTTCAAGCGCCTACCTACTTCAATGGTCGAGTGGCTTCACCCTTTCCGTCCTCCTTAGGGGCCGACGGAACCCAATCTATTATTCTCCATGTTTTTACGTACTTCTTCCGACTGATGGGTATCTTCCCGTTCCCGAAGAGGGCGCGGCACAAGCACGGCGGCGTTTGCAGGTCCGCGCGGCGCTCTCTGGAGTCGGCGCCAGGACCTCCCAGCGGCGCCCTTGACGCTTCCCCTGGCGCCGGCCCACAACATTCGCGTGGATTGTGTGCAGGCCTCCATGCCGTGTCGTGGTCGTCCAGTTCAGTGGCCCCGGCGTCTCGAGGGTGCGGGAGAAGCCTGGGAGCGCGAGAGCGTGAACGGTCCAACAGCCTGTAAGGTAATCAATGACGTGTACCTCTTGAGGCCCTGGTGAGGATTCTCTCGGGGCCCTATTGAGGCATCTTGGGGGCCTCGCGGGCCGTGTGGAGGCAATGCCGTTCCTGCACTTTCGCGCCCTTCTTGTGCTGTGTTGCAAGGCAGATGGGGCACCTCGAAGTCTTCGAATCTCTCGGGTATCGGTGGTGGGTTTCGAGTCTTCGAGGGCCTCACAGGTGCGTGGAAGGGGTTTGTAGGGGAACTTTAAAGGAGGCTGGGCAAAGGCGAGATGCAGCGAGCGTTTGTCCGCGGCCATTTTGGCTCAAGCGACCAGCCACCTATTTGATTGTGCCTCTCTGAGGCGCGCTACCATACGTCGAGACCGAGAAGGCATCATCCCTTTCGCTTGAGATGTATCGCCACAGCCGCGGCTCACTCCTACTTCTGGGACTTCTCGCTGATACGGTGCAACAGGTTGGACGCATGCTTCGCCTTAGGCGAAGCATTTGGTTGGGCCTCCCGACCAGTTTCAATCTTGGTAGAGGAGCTGACCGTTGGTGGTCAGCTTTAGCTCAGCTCTACTCCTCACCATCCACGGCACTATCTGGTGGACTACCGACATGGTGGAACATCAGGGTGAAGTGGTTCTACGCGTAGGAACGCCCTACCATTGCAAGGACACTTGCAGTGGTGCCTCTGCTTTCGCGGTGGTATCCTATTTGAGTCCTACCCCTTATGCGCTACTACGGTCCTGAAGTCCACCCACCTACGCCTATGGGCTTTTTCTTCGAAGATATGACGTATGGCAACGTGCCATACGACATTGTGCCGTGATGAACCGCCACATGCAGCCGACTCTGACCTACGAGTCCACCGGGTTGGCATCGCTATCTGCGGCCTTCCAAGGGTCGTCATCGCATGTGCTATTGGAAATTTGCATTGTGGTGGAGACGACGCGGGACTACCGGCCTCCACTGGGACCCTGCCGGTAATGCATTGTTACGTTAGTTCGCTCGCGAGGTACATGCCTGGATCAGGGTGACCACAGGCACTACGACCCCCTCCCAACAGGCCGCCGCATTACAGCGCGGTGGTCGCCACACCGACGGCGTCACTTACATATGTTCCTCTTCAGCACGAAGTTTGAGAACCTGGAAGAGGAACTACAATTTCACCCGGGGACCGCTCTCATTGATTTTCGCGTCCATGCGGGAGAGCGGATCGACCAGATGCTGGCCCGTTGTGAAATAGCACGCCTCGAAGCCTAAACTGCGGGGTTCAACGTCCCAAACTTCCAGATCCTGACAGTCATACTGTTCAGAGCCCTAGGTGTTGGTTCTTCGCGTGCACAGCAAAGACTACAAGTTTTCAACCACCAAATGCGAAGGACTCAGCAGCAATTCGACGCCCTAATGGAGCGCATGCTGGCTTACGCCCATATTGTTGAGCGAGCCCCTGCACACCGCTCGCACGTTTCGTGGCCGCACAAGGAGTTCCACCGACGGCCCCACCCACTGACTGCGCTCAGCTCACGCGGCACCACCGCGCCCATGTCGGCACACCCAGCACACGCTTGGTGGCCCCATGGGGAGCTCCGCCGAGGGCCCCAGTGGTTGCGCACGCATGGAACCACCGCACCCATGTCGGCACACCCCGTTACACGTTTTGAAGCCCCATAGGGAGTTCCACCGAGGGCCCCAGTGGTTGCGCTCGCATGGCGCCACCGCGCCCATGTCGACACACCCCTCACACACTTCGAGGCCCCACCGAGGGCCCCAGCGGCTGCGCTCGCAGTGCACCACCGCACCCATGGTGGCACACCCCTCGCACGCTTCGAGGCTCCATACGGAGCACCACCGCACCCATGTCGACACACCCTTCACACGAATCGAGGCTCCAATGGCTGCGTTCGCGTGTCTCCGCCGCGCCCAGTTCTTCACACCCCTGGCGCGCTTCGTGGCCCCAGAGGGAACTTCGCCGAATGCCTCAGTGGCTGCATACCCATGTCGGCACACCCGTTTCACACGCTTCGAGGCCCCATAGTGAGAGCCACCGATGGCCCCAGTGGTTGCGCTCGCATGGCACAAGCGCGCCCTTTCCGGCACACCCATCACACGCTTCGTGGCCCCATAGGGAATCCCAGCGAATGTCCCGGCGGCTGTGCTCACATGGCACCACCGCGCCCATGTCGGCACGCCATTCACGCGCGTTCGAATGTGCCCACCGCGCACATTGCGGGACATCCCGCACACGTTTCGTGGCCCCATAAGGCTCCACCAAAAACGATGCTCACAACCGCGTTATTCACAATTGCATGTGGTTGGTTGTTCGCCCGGCTATTTTCTGTGGGCGTGGATCTCTACCCTGGGGATCCCTGGGGCGAAAGATCGGCGCGGCGTGCGCGAATCTTATGCACTGGGCAGTCTTCGTGAAGATCCGCACGTTGATTGGGAGCGTCAAGGGCAGGTGGATCAGGAAGAGCATGGCCGTCGAACGCCGGGACTCGGAGAAGGTAGTTCCCGTGCTGGGCGATTCGCTTACGTGGCGCAGGACGCGGCAGCCGAAATAGGGGGTGCGAAACGCTGCACACGGAGCCGGGAATCGGGCATGGCGGGACGCTGAAGAAGGCGCGGGGCCTGGGTCTGGGCCAATGGGATCGGACAGCGCTTCAGTCTTTGTGGACCCATCAAGCTGCCGTGCCGCTGGTGTCTCTGTGGTCTTCGTTTGAATTTCGCTGAGTTACCCTGGTGGGTGTACCAGCAGGTTTTGGCGGTGGCATTTTCCCCTTCGAAGTAACGCGGGGCAAGGAAAAAGAGCGATAGAGAGATGGAGAGAAAACGAGAGAGAGAGAGAGAGAAAGAGAAACAAAGCACATAACACAGCGAGGGGGGGAGAGGGATAGAGAGATAGAGAGAGAGAGAGAGACAAAACAAGGGGAGAGGGACAGGGACATGAATCTGTATATGGGTATGCATAGGTATATTTATATATAAAATAGAGGAAGGGAGACAGAGTGAGAAACACATATGGAAAGACAAGAGAGATAGGGATAGACATATAGACATATACATAGTGAGAGAGAAAAGGAGAGAGTAAGAGAGAAGGAAATTGAAAGGGAGAGGGAGATTGAGAGAGAGAGAGAACAGCAAGAAGGATAGGTCAGGATGCTGCGGCAGGGAAGCGGATCGCGTTCAGGGCGCGAGTGCGCGAGGCCCGCCATCTCGGGCGCGTTCTGCTTGGGCGTGCGGCCCACATCTCGGGGGTCGGACGAGAGGGGGCGATTGGAACAAGGGGGGGGCACGAGAATGCAAAGTTGGACGCCGTTGCGCTCGCTGCCGTCCCCCCCCCCCCCGTCGTCCTTCTCGGCAGGTGCCCTACTGAGTCTTCTTGGGCCCCGCAAACTTTCTTCGCCGAGAAGGAAGAACGTAATCAACAGAAACGTGCGGCGCTTCGTGGGTTTCTTGGATCGGCGTTGGGGTCCCCTGGCTATGCTTCCAGCGCCGCCCCTGGCGCGCTCCGCGCGCCAGGGAGGGAGGTCCAGCGCGGATCCTAGAAATCCGAGCGGACCTCCGAAAGTTGATGTTTACGTATGCCGTTGTTTGTTCCTCTATCTCGGGGGCCTCTGCACGACGTCGTCGTGTCCGCTGCCGTCTTCGTCGTCGTGGTGTGCCGTCATATTTGTGCTGCCCTATTCGTCCACCCTGGATGTGTGCATGCACACGTGCTGGCCTGTCTGTGAAGGACGCATCGCTAGGTGCGGCCGGCCATTCCGGTCCGACACGCCTCGGATCTGATTTGATCTCCGACCTCGTCGCCTGGCCCCTGGCCCCTGAGTTCTTCCATAACATGGCTGGTGGTATGCGGGGGCGGGGGGGGCTTTGGTTGATGGTCCGGGCGGGGTATATTGGGGGAGCGGGGCTTTGGTTGGTGGCAAAGGGGGAGGAACGAGGGCCTTCGCGAGGCTCTGGACAGTGTTTTTTTTGGGGGGGGGGCTTCAGCAAAAACAGTTCCCACACGATCTTTTGGAAGTCCGTGCGGATCTCCTTGGGTCGGCGGACCCCCCTCCCCGGCGCGTGGAGCGTGCCCGCCGCAGCGCCGGAGGCGCCGCCAGGGGGCGCGAATTCTCCGTCTTCTTCTTTCAACACGTCCCCTTGCCCCAATCGTCCGCGCACATTCCCGGGGGCATGTTGCGCTGACCCCCCTGCTTCCTGGACCCTCCGTCGGGCGCGCCGGGTATGGGTTTTGTCCTCAGCGGGTGCTGCAGTATGTGTGAACCGATTTCGAAGTTCTGGGGCCCTCCTCGGGCCCGGGACGGGCAGAACAATGACTCGGGGGAAGGGCCGGGGGCGTCCAGGAGGGGAGTGAGGACCAGGTGGTGGGGGGGCAGCACGGCTGGGGCCCCCGATTCTGCCATGGACCCCTCTTTTTTCAACGCGTGTCTTTTCCCCCGCTCGTCCGTGCAAAGGCCTCGGGCCATGATGGGCCCTCCCTCTTCGGCGCACCCGAAGAACATCTGGGGGAAAGGCGCGTTCCCTGTGATGGGCCCGGGGGTCGGGGATCCGCTTCCACCCGGGCTCGTTGCTGTCGTGGCCACACATGCGACCGTCCGCCCGATGCTCGCACAGTGTCGTTGTGCATCCCGGCGCGGTCGATCCATTTCGATTCTGGCTTCGTGCCGCTTCGGTTCGATCCAATGCACATCCCGATCCGATGCGATTTCCCAATTCGTTGTTGATTGATCCCGCGGAAATGAAATCAACCCATTGCGCGAGATCTTCTTGAAATGGTTGGGCCGAGAGCCCCCTGGCGACCTCTCAGAAAGTGGGTGTCGGACACCTACCATTGCCTACGCCATCAAGTCGATCGTTTCGGGAGGGTCCCCGAACCGAGAGAGTGGCAAGGGAAGACATCGTCTTCTTGGATGTGGACGTGGACGACAACGAGTTGATCGCGGACAGGTGGGAAGTCGAGGCCATGGTTGGGGATTGTTGTTTTTCCTCGCCCTCCTCGTCTTCCATGCTTCTTTCTCGCCCCTCACCTCATCTCCCCGTGCGCCTCGGTCGAAGGAAGCCAATTCAGTCAACATCGTCTCCCCCACCATGCCCACATCCTCTCAAAATAGGTCTCCCGGCCCCTCGAGGGTCTCTCCAGGCGGAGCCAGCCGTGGCGACGAGACGCTCCTGGGAGGCCCCCCAAAAAAAGGACGAGGAGGGCGAGGGAGGGCCGCCGGTGCCTTGGCTGGGCTGGCCCTCCTCCGTCTCTCGGGTCGGACGCCCGGGGGGGATAGAGGTAAGAAAGGTGCCCAGGGACACAACGAAATAGAAGCACATCCCAGGACGGCCCATAGTTTCGCATATTCCCTGGGTTTTCGTCTCCCCCGCCCCCCTTCCCATACTTTTTCCCATGTTTCCGGGGGCTCGACGATGACTTGTGCCTATGTGTGTCTCTCCCCCTCCTGGAGAGGAGGACGGGGTGGGGGGGACGAAGTCTGCGGCGTGCGGCTGGTTTCGGCCCGGCCGCTGGGCGCCTCGTCTCGCTCCACCGGCGCGGACTCCGGCGCCGGGAGGTGCGGGCACGAGCGGCCGCCGCGGGCTCGTGCCGTGCCGACGTGCCGCGACGCCAGCGCGGGCGGGCAGGACAGCGCCGTCAGTGGCTCGGAGTCAGCCGACGTCGGCCGACCTGCGGGATGGGAAGGCCGCCACCATTCGCGCGGGGACGAGCGGCCGCATCGGGTCGTGCCGTGCCGACGTGTCGCGACGCCCGCGCGGGCGTGCCAGACAGCGCCGTCAGTGGCTCGGAGTCGGCCGATGTCGGCCGACCTGCGCGACGGGAAGGCCGCCACCGTTCCAGGATGAGCTGGTGGACTCACAAGGGGGGGTCGGGGTCCAGCGAGGAGAAGGTGGTGGGAAGGGTTTGGAAACAGGGGCGTGCAGCACATTCCGGTGCGCAGATGTGTTGCTGGATGTTCGCGTGCAGTATACTAGCTGCAAAACAATGCAATACAATTATCCGGCGCAATGCATTCGCAATGCAATCGCCCCATACGCATATACATAATTATACATATACACATATACACATATGCATAGATGGGTACGGGGTCCTGGGCCCCGCCAAATTGCACTGATTTATCGTCCGGCCGTTTCGGGCCCGGCGGGGGGCGCCCAAAAACGTCAGAGGGGGCCAGGAGACGTCCAAGAGGGCGCCAAGATGGCCCAAGAGCACTCCAAGAGAGCCCAAGACAGCCCAAGAGGGCTTCAAGACGGCCAATATGCTCTCAAAAGTACTCCCACCCGGCACTCAGGAGGCGACACAAGTTGGTTTGTTTCGAGGGTTTCTGAAGGTTGTTCGTGTTCTCGCTGTTTCGTGCTTCCGACTGTCCAAGACAGCCCACGAGGCCCCAGAAATCAGTTCAACACGGCCCAAGAGGCACCCAAAGAGGGCGCCACGACGGTGCCAGACGGCCCAATAGCGCCCCAAGACGGCCCACGAGGCGCCCAAGATCGCCCAAGAGGGCCCTAAGACGGCCCTTTTCAGGGGCCCAAGAGGGAACACGACCCGACAATTCGAGCCTTTCACCCCAAGAGGCCTCCAGGAGGCCCCAAGAGGCTCCCAAAAGAGCCCTAGAGACTCCCTGGAGGCCCCCTAGAGGGCCCACGAGGCCCCAAAGGACTCCAAAAAGACGCGCCACGAGAACCCCAAACGGCGCCCCAGAGGCCTCCAAAATTACCTTCAAGAGGCCACCGGGAAGCCTTCCACCAATTCCACATGCATTTTCAAGAGGCCTCCAACCCACAACACAGGCACGGTGGCGGGATGGGCCGAAGGCCACTAACGGGAACGTGAACCGAGAACCCGAGATCTTCGCCCCAGGAGACCCCAGGAGGGGTCAAGAGGTCCCCAAGAAGCTTGGCGACAGATCATCACCGGTCGACCTGTCGATGAGAGCGGAGGAGGAGGAATGAGGAAGAGGCAGGAGGAAACGGATAATGTTGACCTCATTGTCCCAATGCGGTCAGCACTTGACCAGCTAGAGCCTAGGCGCGCGCGAAGCGCGCGCGATGTATCTATTGTATGTGTATACGTATGTATATATCGATATATGTATATGTATATATACATCACATATATATATATATATATATATATATATAGCACCACCATCTTGCAGCTGGACCCCCTGTTGGGTCGACGCCGAAGTTGAGCGATCCCCGCGGTGTCCAAGTCCATCGCCCGGGTCGTCACGACGAAAACCAGTCAAACGTGGGCTGATTCGCTAACACCTTTCTTTCGGCGGCGAGTGTGGGGGGAAAGTGAGAAGGAGAAGGCCTTCTCAGAAGGCGACGGGGCTTCTCAGAAGCTCTCGCGCCTGTGAGAATTGTTCTGCGTCTTCGGGGAAGGCTTCGAACACTTCTCAGAAGGCCGGGGGGACTTCCGAGCCTTCTGAGAAGGCCCGCCCGTTCTCACTTCCTCCCCAGGCGCGCCGCCTACCAATGGCCTATTCATCGACGATGGGGGCCTGATGGCCATCTCCCCGCCCAGGAACGCGCGGCTCCGTGTTTCCAAGGCACGTCGGCGATCTGTAGGCGAGGCGTCGCTTTTTCCAGCCCGATGTTCCCACCCTTGAGCTGGTCCTCCCCTGACGCTGGCCCTCAGGCCTGTCGGTCCGCGCCCGCGCTGGGCCCGAGCGGATGGAGTCGGGAACCAGGATCCGAGGTGGGGTCAGTCGTCATCGCATCGGGACATGGGATTGGATCGGACCGTAGGTCGGAGCCGCCCGCACCGGCACGGAGCCGAGATCGGTCGTTCCAGGCTGCGCAGCAGCGCCGTGCGAGCATCGGGCAGCATCGGATCTCGGGGGTACAAGTCCCAGGGCAGCGATTGGGGGCCACCCCATCGGTTGCATGCAGGAGCGACCCCAGTCGAGCGAGTCAATGGCTCTCCTCCGTCTCCTGCCGGAACTTGAGGCCGAGAGCACCGCGCGTAGTGTGCTTCATGCTCTGACCGCATCTTCACTCTCTTCGTCTTACTCCGTGGCCGCTCTCCTTCTTTAGATCATCCGTTCAGGTTCACAATCAGGCATTCCGCGACCCTGTTGTTGCTACATGACGCTTCGTGCATAGGAAAGGGTGTCGAGGGAGCAGGGGATACGATGGAACGCGAGGCGGTCAATATTGTTGAAACGACAATTCGACGGTTCAGCGACAGAGCGGTCGATGGAGCGGGGGACACGATGGGACGAGAGGTGGGCAGGAGAAGTTTGGAACGATCAGCGGTAGGAGTGATGGGAGGTTCAGCAGTTAAGCGGCGGCGGATGCGCGGTGATCGCCCCGCGCAAGGCGATGCCGACGTTTGTCTTTTTCAGAAACCAGGAGAAGCAGGACTTTCATGGGCAAGGGACATTAAGGGGGCGATGGCTAGTGAGGTGGAAGTGCCCCATGCAGCGTTTGGACCATGCCGTTTTATTAATCGCTTCGCTCATTCCGCCGGCCCATATTGTCGCACCGTTGTGGGCTAGCCGAGTTTTGGGGCCTCTTGGGGGCCGTTTTGGGGCCTCTTGGGGCCTCTTTTGGGCCTCTTGGGCGCCTCTTGGGGCGTCTTGGGGGCCTCTTGGGGGCCTCTTGGGGCCTTTTTGGGGCCTCCTGGGCGCCTTCTGGGGCGGAGGGCTCGATTTTTCAGTTCTCGGTTCCCCTCTTGAGCCCCTCTTGGGCCCGTCTTGGGGCCTCTTGGTCCGCCTTGGGCGGCACTTGGGCCGTCTGGGGGGCGCTCTTGGGCCGCTCCGGGGCCGTCTTGGGAGCCTCGTGGGCCGTCTTGGAGCGGTCTTGGGAGCCTTGGGCCGTCTTGGAGCGTCCGGAAGCCGAAAAAGCCAGAACGCAAAAAACATAAAAAAACAATGAAAATCAACGATTTTGGCCTCTTGGGGCCCTCTTCGGAGGCCTCTTGGAAGGCCCTTGGGGCGTCTTGGAGGCCTCTTGGGCTGTCTTGGGGCCCTGTTGGGCGTCTTCGGGCGATCTTTGGCCGTTTCGGGGCCCTCTTGGACCGTCTTGGAGGCTTCTTGGGGACCTCTTGGCCCGTCCTGGGGCCCTGTAACAGGGCTCCGGCATCTCCGGCCCGACCTTGCCGGGACCTTCCCGGGGTACTTTTCGTCCGGGGACCCCCAGGGGCCGCCCCGCGCGCGCGAACTATAAATACTGTTAACCAGGTACCGGAGATCTTAGCACGCCCTGGCCCGTTGGGCCGGCGAATTTGATACGGTGTTTAGCTCGCACGGCGCGCTACTTCAGTGTAAAAAAGCTGTTCGCGCATGATTTCGTTGTCGATGTGTTTGGGGCGTCTCCACAGCGAGATTGCGGGTTGTTGAAGCAACGTATTTTCAATGTATTGCCAGGGGGAGATGCCAGGGAGAGGGATCAGGCAAAGGCGGAATGTAGTAGTGCACAAATCTGGCGGGAGGGGGGATGACCACGGAGGCAGCAATATGGAATGATTTGCAGGGACGGCGGACGGAGTCAGTGAGCAGGACAAGCGATGGGGGAACGGGGAACATGTACGAAGGGAATGGGGGAAGTAGGAGACGAATAGTGGTCAATGGTAGTCTCGTTGGAAGGCGTGTTTGTGTGCGTGTGTGTATATCTGTATGTGTGTATAAGGGTCCAGCATATATGAGGCATGTGAATTGCATCACGGTGCGCCTTGCAACACGGCACGAACATCTCCCGTGCAGTCTCTGTTGTGGCCTCCTTCCGCCAAGGACGTCGTGATTGGAGCATTCCTGGATAAAGCGCGGGCCTCACATGTATCGCTCGCTCTCGACGTTTCGCCCGCGATCGCTTGGGGCAGTGCGATCGAGCAGGAGATGGAATCGTTCACTGCTATTTAGCCGTGCCGCGCCTGGGCGGGACCACTGGCGGCATGGAGCATACCGCACGACGGCTCTTGCGTTCCCCTCCCCTCATCAGCCTCCCCTTTCCCCCTTATCCCAATCCCTCCCCTTCCTCCCTCTCTCGCCTCCCCCTCTCACCTCTCTTCGGCGCCCTCCCCCTCTCCCGTCTGCCCCACGCCCTTTTCCCCATCCCCTTGCGGGCGGAGACCACTACGATACCGAAGCTTCTTGCTGCTGGGGGAGCCAGTCCCAGGGCTGCGTGACAGCTCATGGCTCCCATGGCGGCACGTGAGATATTTTTTGTCAGCGAACTTGCAGGGCCCCCCTCTCTCGTCGGAAGTTATGAGGTCTCCTCGTCTGGGACCTCCCGACCGAAGTGAACCCCACCTCACCCTTTAGGAATCATGGGGTGGTGGGTTAGGGTTCGCATAATGCCTCCAGCCTATCTGCGCCAGCGCCTGCGGGACAGAGGAGGCGCAGAAGACACGCACACACAACCGCACACACACACACACTCACGCGCACACGCGCACGCGCACGCGCACGCGCACGCGCACGCGCACGCGCACGCGCACGCGCACGCACACGCGCACGCGCACGCGCACGCACACGTGCACGCACACGCGCACGCGCACGCGCACGCGTACGCGCATGCGTACACGCACACGCACACGCACACGCACACGCACACGCCGGCGCACACGCGCACACACACACACACACGCACACGCACACGCACACGCACATGCACATATACACAGACACATGCACACGAGGGCTGCTAGAAGGCCCAGCTGAGCGACGTCCCTCCCAGATCCAGATGAGACCTTGCCATCCTCTTTGGGCTGCGATCTGCGAAACTGTCGCTACTTTCGAGAGCTGCTTGGGGGTCCAGCGGAGTGACTTTGTTACCCAGAATATGATGAGACCTCGCCATCCTTGTGGGGCTGCGATCTGCGAAGGTGTCGCCGCTTTCGAGGGTTGCTAGGCGGTCGAGCGGGGTGACGTCTTTACCAAGATTCAGGCGATACTTCGCCATCCCTCGGGTGGGTGCGATCTGTGAAACTGTCGCCACTTTCGCGGGCTGCTGAGGGTCCAACGGAGTGATGTTTAACCTACATTCAGATGAAGCCTCGCCATCCCCATGGGGCTGCGATCTGCGAAACTGCCGCCTGTTTCGAGGGTTGTTGGGGGTCCAGCGGAGTGACCTTCTATCCAGATTCTACGAGACCTCACCATCCCTGTGGGACTGCGATCTGCGAAACCGTCGCCACTTTTGATGGCTGCTGGGGGTCCAGCGTAGTGACGTCTTACCCAGACCACCAGGAAACCTCGCCATCCCTGTGGGACTGCGATCTGCGAAACTGTCCCCACTTTAGAGGGCTGCTGGGGGGTGCAGCGGATGTCGTCTTACGCGGACCACCAGGAGATTTCGCCATCCCTGGGGTCCAACAGAGTGACTCCTTTTTCTGTTGCTTTGGGGGTTGTTTCGAGTCCTGGGGTCGCCCTAGTCCTGGTAGGGGTGCAGGGATTGACCTTGAGGGATCCAGAGGAAACAGCGGAGGAAACGGCGGAGGAAACGCGGAGGAGGAGGAGGCGGAGGAGGAGAAAGGGGAAGACGAGGTGGAACAGAAGGAGGAGGAGGAGGAGTAGGAACCGGGGGAAGAGGTCCGGCACGTGTTGCCACGGCGATGCCAGCACGTGTCTTGCATTAGTTACATGCAGGTTTAGAATAGTTTGTTCGAGCTTCGCGGCGACATGGCGCAGGCAACGCTGTATCTGTAGCGTGCTATCGACACGAGTAACACTCGTCGGTCTCCTCCCGTCATTGTCGTCGTCGTCCTCTGCCCCGTGCCACCTTCCCTCTGCTGCTGCCGCGCTGACTGTTCGGCTCCCCGCGGTTCCCGCCCGCATGTCCTTCCTCGTCCTTCTGCTGTTGTCTTATGAATCGTGCCACATGAACGCATGCCATGTAGCTTGCACAACATATTACGGCGCCTGCAGTGTCATTGTCTTGTCAATGTTGGGCCTCTTGTCACTTGATGCTAATGGGTTGGGTACGTCACAGGGTAACGGGCACGCGTGGGGGAACGGGCGAGAACACCACGCATACAGACAGAGGACATCTGCCAAAACAGCCGATGGATGATTATCGAATGGCTTTCGGCACATCCCGCCACCGTGTCTGTGTTGCGGGTATGAGGCCACTCGGATGGTTGATGGGGTCTTGTGGGAGGCGTCTCGGGGGCGTTTTGGACGCAGTTGTTGAACGTCTTGGGGGCCTCCTGGGGACCCCTTGGATTTTTTGCGGCCGGGGCTCCATGGGGCCTGTTGGGGGCTCCTTGGGGCAATCTGGAGGCGTCTTGACATGGATGACTCGAAATGTCTGTTCGGGTTCCCCCTCTGGGCCCCTTTTATGGGCTGTCTTGGGGGCCTCCTGGGCCGTCTTGGGGGTTTCTTGGGCCGTCTCGGGGCCTTGTAGGGTCGTTTGGTCAGTTTCGGGGCGAACTTGAAGGCCTCTTTGGCCGTCTGGGACGTTGTGACCGACCAAGAGGCGACTGTCCCAAAACCTGTATACCTTTGACGATTTTTGTTTTTTGGAGGTCCTCTTTGGACGCGTCTTGGGAGCTTCGTTGGGCGTCTTGGGGGCGTCCTGGGCCATCTGGGGGCTAGCGTGGGCGTTGTGGATTGATTCTTGCAGCGATCCGTGGCCCTCGTGGACCGCCCCGAGGCCTCTTGGAGCCCTCTTGACCTGTTTTGGGGCACCCTGCCCCTTCGGGCGCGTTCACCCACATCCCGGGGGACCCTCCCCCTCCGAATCGACCGGACCTGGCTCCCGGGGGAGGAGGAGGAGGAGGAGGAGGAGGAGGAGGAGGAGGAGGAGGAGGAGGAGGAGGAGGAGGAGGTTTGGGGAGGTTTGGGGAGGGGCGAACATCTCACGCGCCTGTGAACCCCAAGGTGTCGGCGGTTTTCGCTGTTGCGTGGGCCCCCGAAGGTCTGCGTGGAGCATGGGCCCCCTCCCCAGGACCGCTCTTGCATCTGAGGCACCCGTGCTTCTTAGAAGGCGCGGGTCTTGTCTTCAGTGCTTTAGATGTACGGCCGGCGCCTTCTGAAAAGCAACCTTCTGAGAAGGCTTCCCCCCTCCCACATTTTTGTCCATTTGTCCGAGGGACTGGCGTCTCATATCCATCGATACTCAGTTTCTCAACCCGCGGTCCAGAGGTCCCGATCCTCCTGGGCCCGCAAGCAGCCCCGGAGGGCCGATGTCGAGGACAGTGCCGCGGCTGAAGAGCATCATATCGTAGGAGACCTGGGGGCGTATTTTGTCGGGCCAGACGACAGGGCAGGATCGGGAAAGGAGGGAGGGGGTGCGAAATCTGCTGCATGCAGCTGGTTTCGGCCCCGCCGCCCGGCCCATTCCTCAGTGTACATGGGCGCCAGGAGGCGCCAGGAAAACCAGCCAAGTGTGCCGATTCTCTAACATGCCCTTTGGTATTCTACCCTTTCCTTCCCCCGGGGCGGGCCCGAGTCTGGTCCGTCTGGCCGGCCCATTCCTGGGGAAATCAATAAGTTCCGGCTCCCTGGACCTCGCCCGGGGCGCGTGCTGACCAGAGTGTTTCTAGGGCTGCTAGATGGGGTCGGAGTAGATGGTGTCGGAGGATCGCGCCGCATCGCCGATGCATCGCCGATGCATCGCCGATCCATCGGCGATGCGGCTCGATGTGGAGCCTAATTTTCTCCACGCCGATGCCTCGCCGACGTCGCTGATGCATCGCCGATACATCGCCGATGCATCGGCGATGCGGCGCGATCCTCCGACCCCATCTACTCCGACCCCCTCTAAGAGGCCTCGAGGACCTCACAGGAGGCCAAAAAAGGGGAACAAGTAAGCGAAGGGTAGCGAAAGCGGACCTTTCCCAGACTCCCGTCGTCGTGATTTTTTCATGACGTGCCCCTCAGACGTCTGGGCCCCTCCCCGGGGGCCGGTTTTTCATCCCGAGTCGTTTTCTGACGGTCCCGAGGCCCGGGAACGGCCTCCGGGGGCCGAAAGTAGCGAAGAACCTCCCGTCGTGATCTTTGTCACAGCGCGAGGGGTCTGGGCGTTCCTCCTCTGAAGTCCGCTCGTCCCTGAAGCAGGCGCGGCGCCGCCCCTCGGCGGGCCCGCGCGGGGCATGTCGCGCGGGGGCCCCCGCGGCGGGCGCGCGCGCCCGGGCCACGGCCCACGGCCGGCGGCTGCTCCCCGGCGGGGGCGCCCGCGCGGCGCTGGCGCGCCGAACAAGGCGGCGGGTGGCCCACCCCCCTGGGCCCTGGGCGAGGAAAACGTCACGACGACGGGGGCCCTCCTCCTCCTCCTCCTCCTCCTCCTC